ATATATATATATATATATATATATATATATATATATATATATATATATATATATATATATGGTAAGGTTCATGTGATATCATCATATTTTGGGACAAATCAGTCTATTCTATAGTCTTATTATAGACAAACCAGTCTATTCTATTATATTTTAGGTCTATTTTTTTCATTTATTTTTCCATAAATAATTAAAAACATTTATTTTATCAAATGTCATTATTATAATAATAATTAAGTAATGATTATTAATTTACTTTTAATTAATAAATGTACGAAATAAATAATTATTTTTTAATAAAAAACCTAATTGTATTTTTGTAAAAAATATTATATAATAAAACTAATAGAACAAAAATTAAAAGTAGAATCTATTTTTTAAAGTCCATTTAATCATATATTAGCCTATAACATTGCGATATTATATATTAAAATTATATATCAATTCAAATAGAAAAAAAAAATATTTTCCTTAAATAAATTATTCATATTGACGTAATCATATAAAGCGTTTTGTATTCTTTATGTAACATATAGAGTAACAATAATTTTATTTTTATTATATAATATAAATCTATTATCCTTATTAGAAAAATATGCCTACAAATCATTAAAAACAATACAAACTAAGATTTAATAAGTTAAAAATAATAAGTCTAAATATTATATTTCATTTTATATATTAATAATCATAAATATAATTTTATTTATCGTTTGTTAATAAATATTATTTCCTCCGTCTCAAAATGATTGTCTACGTTTGACTTTTTAAGTTTCTTTTGTTCAATTTTGACGTCAAATAATTTATTTTTTGTTATATAATTTTTTATGCAAGATATATGAATGAATTGTTTTTTAAATGTATTTTTATAGTTATAAGTTTCATTAAAATTTATATAACACAAATAAAGTTATTTTTGTTCAAAGTTGACATGGAAAGATTTCAAAAGTCTGGTCAAAGTTGACATGGAAAGATTTCAAAAGTCAAACGTAGACAATAATTTTGGAAAGAAGATAGTATTAAAGATATGGTTGATATACAAGGTTGAAACGTTAAATTAAAAACAAAAAAGAGCTAGATAATAGAACTTGGTTTAATCCTATGTGTGGATTGGCAGCCAAAAGTAAAGGCGTGTGGCTCATTATGGAAAAAGGTAAGAGTAAATTACACAAATGGTCTTTATGATTTGGGGTAATTTATGTGTTTGGTCCGTAAATAATTTTTTTAATTTGGAAGGTCGCTACTGTTTGTTTTTGTTATGCGCTTGGGGGTCTATTTATTTAAATAAATTAAAAAATGAACGGAAAAATAGTATTTTTATGTAAGACAGAGACCAAACGCGTAACAAAAAACAATAGAGACTTTCCGAGTTAAAAATATAAGTTAGAGACTAAACATGCAAATTACCTTAAACCGTAGGGACCATTCGTATAATTTACTCAAAAGGTAAGCGTACCATTTTTTCTTTAATAAAATGGTTTATTGGAGTAAGAGGATTAGTGTTTTTTGTGCCAAAATATGTGGGAAATAAAAAACACTAGCTAGGCTCGTGTGAGGATAAAAATAGGTTGGTGTGTATAAAAAAATGCCTTTATAGAATAATTATAAAAAAAAGTTGAATTGCATGCACATCTAGAACATATGTAATTTGTCAGTTGAAATATAATATTGAATTTTATAAAAGTTCCATGAAAACTATCTTTATAAACAAAAATCATTTATTTCTTAATTATATATATATATATATTTTTTTCTATTAACCAGTTTAATGAATTCCATATTCAATGAAAGTATTTCATTAAACATGAATTTATTTCATTTAATTAAAGTAAGATGATCTTTGAACTAGCGGTAAGCAGTGACTCTTTTAAATGAGATGTGATGTGTTCAGCTCTCACTAAGAGACATATGTGGTGTTTAGGATTAGATTAGGATAGTTTGCGGTTTAAAAAAAATGCATATCACCCATTGATCTATTGGATTAAATTATGGATTGGATTAAGTTTTGCCTAATTAGTGATTTAATGCTCTCTTCGTGATCATTGTAAGTTGCTGATTATTGATGTGCGCCCTTCAATGATCTGGATGCTTTTTTAAAGTGATATTTTAGTTGAAGTCATATAAGAAATATTTAATAATAATAATAATAATAGTTTTATATAAACTGAAAATAACATTTAAAGGAAAGGTAAAAGAACGAAAAAGATATTATTCAAGAATTGTTTTTAAGCGAAAATCGCCAAAATAAACTAAACGACAAATCATGGAATTTAAGTTGTACCTGTTTATGTTATTTTTACCTATCGGGCAATAGGAATATAATCTAACGCACACCTATCTAATGTCATCCTTAATTTAGATTACGTTATTAGTCGGCTAGAATTATCACAAGAACATGCAAAAAGAAGGGGAATCATATATAACGTTGTACCTATATTTGTTCGAATAAGGTAGAGCTAAATTAATCGACTTCGGTGGTGTATAACTGTAAAGAGACAACTGCGGTTGTTCCGGTAGTTTCAACCGTCGCTTTTTCACGGCTACCACCAGAACCCTCGCCATGCTTGTGAAGGGACTACCATCAGGCTTTACTTTCACATACATTTTATTACCACTGAAGAACAAAACACAAGAGATGAACATGAAGATCACCGGAATCGCTAGGCCAATGGGCCAACTCAGGTCTGATTGAATGTAAACCACAACAGTAAGCGACACCATCTGTGCAAATACCACAGCGAATAAATACCAATTGAAGAAGCTCGTTATCCCTCTCTTCCCGGATTCTGTATTTGGATTGAACTGATCAGCTCCAAAAGCAAGATTACATGGTCGGATTCCACCGGATCCGATCACCATAAATAGAAATCCAGTGAGTAGAAATAGCCATTGAAATGGGATGGGATCCACACAGTGACTACCCTGTTTTGATCCACATTCAGGAGGATGAAGTTGTTTGAACACCGCAGTTAGATCAACTAAAAACAAACCCTGAATTAAATCATAATTCGAGCATCAAAACATGTTTAAATAAAACTTTAGAGAAGTGGGGAGGATTAAAATGAAATAAAACGAATACACACAGTGAAGGATGCAATGCAAGCAAAACCCAAGGTAAGGTGGCGACCGAAGTAGGTATCACAAAGGAAGGCGCCCAACAAGGTGGCGAAATTGATGCTGCCATCGAATACGTTGAGGAGAGTGGTGGCCGTGATACTCGGCATATTAAACACAGTTGTCAGGTACACCAACAAATTTGACATCATTCCAAATGTTCCAAGCTTCTCAAATGCCTCATTTCCTATAAAAAAATCAGTTGAACTTTACTGGAATGAACTACGAAACGTGTTTGATATTCATTTATACGAAAATAGTAAAAAAAAAAAAAAAAATCAATCAATTACGCATACCTATGATGAAAGGCATAACTTTGATTCCCTTGTAACTGATTTGAGGCTCATCGTCTTCGCGTACTCTTTGCTCATCTTCCTCCTTCGCCGCCATTTTTGGTATGGAAGATGAAGGTGAAGATAAAGCTAAATATCCTGTGAACCACTGAGGGAAGTTTGAGGTTTAATGATGGTTGATTGGTTACTTGTGTAACTAGCTTATATATAGATTTTAAAAAAGTTCACATATAATTTATATTGCTTTTTCTATTTTTATTATTTTGATTATGAATTTGAAGATTGAGATTATATTTCTAAACAAATATAACTAAAATTGGTTTTTATAAATCTTACAATGTATTTGCATAATAAGAATCTTGATTTTATTTATTAAACACGATAATATTAACATTAGATTAAAAAAGTTTTACATAGATGTAGGGTAAACGAGCAACAAGTTATGCCGCAACCCTCTTTTTAGATATAAAAAAACTAATTCTTTTATAAACAACTTCCATGAATCTTGGGTCATAACATTATCATGAATAATGAAACTATATAAATAAAAGCAAAATTGTAAAGTTTCATCTTATATCCTTTTGATATTGATATGAGCTTCCATAACACAAGTTTCATCTTATATCCTTTTGATATGAGCTTCCATAACACAGTGAATTCAATAGAAGAATTGAATAAGATGACAAGTCTAACATTCGTTCAATATATAAAACTTTATTATTGTGAGATGTTACATTGGTTTTCAATGAATTTTGAAATTCAAGAACTATTGAACTCTACCATAAGAAAAAAGATAGTTTTCTAATTATTAAATATATACCATAAATTAGCTTTTATAATATTTAATAAACTTTATAAAATTCAATGCATTATAAAAAAAATAGAATTTTATGGAATGTTAAAGAATGATGTAACAATTCACTGAATAGAGTTTAGGGTTTAGGATGTCTTTAGTAGGGTATAAATTCATATATAACTTACCATATGTTACAGACATTTTGGATGTCTTTTAGTTGGGTATAAATTCATATATAACTTACCATATGTTATAGATCTTTAAGTAAATTCTTTGAAGTAAAATTCTGCTTAAATTTATCTAATAAAATTCAAAAATCCACACTCAATATTTTAGATGCTCACCATTAATGCCAAAAGCAACCATGAGAAAAATTGATGCCGTAAATATCATATAAGAATTGTTAATGAAAATGGTGATGTAGGACTGAAATTTTATTATGAAAAATTATTGTTGATATTTTATAACAGAATGCATAATAAATGTTTTGTGATATTTACTTTCGAATTTAGTTTTGAGGTTAAGAGCATCTCCAATGGTTAACCTATATTATGACTTAATATCATTGACACCTCATCATCATATTACTTTTAACCTTTAATTAAATGACATCTCCAATGGTTAAGCTCTCCCAATAATTTTTTCTTTAAATTTAACTAATCTATCCTTATCTATTTAAAATGTTCTACATAATACCCTCCATTTAGGTAGTCATTTTTAAACACATTTATATTTTAATACAAACTATTTTAATAAAGATTATCACTATATATTTATATTTCACAAATAAAATATCATTAAATATTTGATAGAATTAACTAACTTGTAATAAATAAATAAATTAAAAACTAAAATATACTTAGAGGGTAAAATAAAATATGAGTAGAAAATGAAGGGTTGAATGTATAAAGGATTAAACTATATTGACCGTTCAATATATATTTGACTAGTCAATAAAAATAAGCAAAAAAGCTAGGTGCTCTAATGGTAATAAGTGCTCAATATAAATAAGTGAATAGTAATAAGTTTTAAAAAAAAATCACATCGGAGATGCTCTAATATTGATATTTCTACCACAAATCGATTAAAGTAAAGTGAGTAGGTCTTGATTTTTTATGGAAATGGAATGTGTGTAAGTTGATTATTTCATAAATAAGCGAAATCCAACACGCACGTTGCACTTTTACTATTAGGACTATTGATATAATTGGCAAAAAGGGTGCAACAAATGACCGAATAGGATGGGGACCGATTTTCATTAAACGGTTCTGAGTATAAACTAGGACCGATACGAAAGGTGAGGAGATCAAATCAATCATCTTCTTTAAACCCTCATAACTCCTTTATTTGAAATCAAAATGTCATGAATTTTTTTCGTTTAATTTCGTATTTTTTTTTTAAATTATAGAAACATGATATTTTCTTTTATATATATATATATATATATATATATATATATATATATATATATATATATATATTAAATGTGTGCCCATGCAAAACCGCTGTGATAAATAAAATTTTTTAGTGGAATTTTGTTTATAGGGAGATAATTATTTTATTCTATTATAATTTATTATATAATAAAAAATTACCACCCTTTAAATAAAATATTTATGTTTATATTGTTTGTTTGTACTATTGATGTAAATTAATTAATATTGCTATTTAGTTTAAGAAATACAAATTAATTTATATACATTAATTTAATATTTTAAAGGTTTCATTTTGCTCAAAATTGAATTTTTTTAATTACTTTTCTCAGTTCAAGTCTTCAAACTTTTGGCAAGTACTAATAAACTATTTAAGTATAATTGATTTGTACAAAAAACTTTATAACTTATATATCTTAAAGTTCAATATATGACTAATATGCTTTAAAATATATATATATATATATATATATATATATATATATATATATANATATTAAGTTAGAGACCTTAAAACATGGGGTATCAAAGTTAATTTTGTATTTTGTTTCAATATTATGTAGGAGATGTCATCTTCTTTACACAACCATAACGCATTCATCTCTAATCGCAATGACCTGAATTTCTTTTCAATGTGTAGTTTACTGTTTTTAATTCGTTTTAGTCTATAGAAACACATTACTTGGTTACATACTTATTGAGTTACTTGTCTGACACAAGGTATCAAATTTTAGTATTATATTGAATTGTCTGTTTTTAAACTGTCACAACTCCTTATTTTGATGTAAAAATGGCATGGATATTTGTCTAAAAATGTAGTTTACTATTTTTAATCCATTCTAGACTATAGAAACAAATTATTTTGTCACGTATGATTAAGTTACTGGTTATGGGACACGTGGTATGAAAGTCGAATTGTTTTCTATTTCAAAATTATCTATATGTACCAACTGTGTAAGCACATGTATTAGTTCCAACCATGTATTTATTGGAATATTGGCACCAACATTATGTAGGCTAAGCAGTCAAGTTATCTGTCCTTTGGAATTATCAATTCTGATTTTGATTCCAAACCAATTTCAGGTCGTTAGGTCGTATGTTCACCCATAATTGATCCCAAGCATAGTTATAATGTATATAATAAGCCTGAAAGTTTAAAATAATTAAAATTACACCCAAAATTCATAAAACTATAATGATTTGGTCATTGTTGTCTACTATAATATGTAAAACATGTAATCCATTCATATGTCATACTATGTAGGTGATTTATGTTCCAACATTATTCATGTGGTTCTATTGGTGGTAGGAGTAGAACTCACCTAAGTCACTATCATATTAGCTCCACATTAGCGTTTTCTCTTCCTCTTGCTTCTATCTTTCCTAATCCATAACACACAGAAATAACATTTTTCTCAACCCATTCAACCCACTTGGCACATTATTTTTGATAATTAAAAAGATACAAATTAAAAAATTAATAAAAAATAAAACAAAAATAATTATGTTTAATACTAATTTTAAATTTAAACAATTTTGGCAAAAAAATTGTTATATATATATATATATATATATATATATATATATATATATATATATATATATATATATATAGGCTTA